AGTCTACAATCCAGCAAACAGGCCATTCTCCAGGAGCCGTGAGATTGGATATGCAGGGAACTCTGGGAGCCCTTAGGAAGTTCCAGATTTGTCAGCATGAGTGTGACTTTCGTAGAGTAATGTAGGAAGAGTTTTGACTGGAAAAGAGCTAAAAGTGCAAAACTAAGAAGATGAGTTTATCTGTTTTCATCCTAAAATATCGTATTTGAAGGTCAAATGAAAAGAAATGATTATTCCTTGTCTGGTGGCGTTCACAGGCCCCTTCAGCACTCTTTCTAGACTCCCATCGTATTGCAGGCTTCAAAGTCCAGTTTCATGTGGCTTCACTCTATGCAGACTTTTCTCTCCTGGACCTGCCTCCCAGCATTCGCTCATTCCTGTGGTGCTTTCTGGGTTGTATGATGGATCTCTATGTGGGATTTCATATCTTTATCTCCATTGTCTGTAGATAGGAATATGTTCCAGTTATGTATTTATATTAAACAAATCACCCTAAAATCATTTGAAACAATGTCCTACTGTATTTTTCCCCCCATAGTGTAGGTTTGATGGGAATTTCCTCTGCTGATTCATCTGGGCTTGTTCATATGGCTGCTAGAGGGCCATTGAGGGGAAGTTTCAGATGGCCTCCCTGCATGTCTGACTGTATTGGCTGAGGGTACAAGCAGTCACGTGGACACCTCACTTCTCCTCCCCATAGCCTCTTCTCTCCTGGTTGGCTAGGCCAGCTTCCTAACACTGCAGTCTTAAGACAGCATTTTAAGAGGGTAAAGGCAGAAGAGTAAGATTTTTTTAAAATTTAAATTTGTTATTAACTTCAGTGAAAATTTACAGAGGCTTTGGATTTCCATTCATTCATTGTTGTAGATTTGTCCCCTCCCAAGGCTCCCCCCAACCCCAGAACACTACCCTCTTGGAAAAGTAAAAGAAAAGATTCTTTCATTGTTTTACAAACCCTCCCCCAGGTCCACTCCACCATGTAGCCATCGCTCTAGACTCCTGTCATGACAAGAAGAGTAAGATTTTTTTAAACTTCCTCTTTAAAGTTACATTTTATCACTTCTACATTGGCAAAGAAAGCAATAAAGCCTTTCCAGAGTCAAGGGAAGGAGAAAGAATTTGACCTTATTTGAAGTAGTGAAGTCACATTGTCAAGAAGCAGAACAACAACTATTGAGGCCATTTTTAAAAAACATAATCTCCTCTAGAATATCTTGTGAATCTATCTCTTGGCATTGCTGGGTATGTGGTGATTAGCTCCTTCACTTTCTAAGGAGGGACTGGCCAGAATTTTTTTAAATAGAATTCTTAATGCTTCTACCAACTGTTATAGGCTGAGCTCTCTAAAATCTTTGAAGTTTATATATGTATATGTAGTGAGACTTAAGGAAATGATTCACATGGTTGAAGAGGCTGGGAGAGCCGAAGTCTATGAGTCAGATGTCAAGACTGGAGGCTTCTTCTGAGTCGCATAACTGCAGCAGATGGAGAATCCAAGATCAACAAGCAATATTACAGTTACTGGATCACATCCTAAGAACTGAGGGTAGGATCATGACACACTGGATACAAGATCCAGAGTGAGCAAAAAGCCAGAGAGTTCTGTCAGAATGTCCTCAGACCACACATCTCAGGATACTCCTTCAAATGATGGCCTACCCGTATAGCAGGTCTCACCGTGGAGGTGGTTACATGATAAAAAAATCACCTTCTATTATGAAAATACACACACACACACACACACACACACACACACCCCATTACATAATTGCCAGACTACAACATAACAATCAAACTACCAGGAACTCATGACCCAGCCAAGTTGATACACAACCTGAACCATCTCATCAACTCAGCACGTATTACCTCCAGGAAAATGACTTAAGTAATTTTCAGTGCAATCCTGAAGGCACACAGTTTGAGTCTACTAGCTGCCCCATGGGAGAAGGATGAGAAATTTCCTCTTGTGTGATTAATTAACTGCCTCTGAAAACCTGCCAGAGGGTCAGTGCTGGGTGGGTTCCAACTCAATGGTACACAACAACAGCCGTAATTGCTAAGGATAAATTAAAGCATAGAAGGAGATTGACTTGGGAGAAAGTCAGTTTAAGAAATTATTACATATTGAATAGCTTTATGAATAATTTAAGTAATAAAAAATACATATTTACATACCTAAAATTTTCAAACAATTCTTTATGGGCAAATATGCACTCTACCCTCTTGAAGTTTACAACTGAACAGGAAAGTTAAGTCTTTAGTTGGATGGTCACACAAGCACTAGTACCTTCCCTGAAAGAGATGTACCAGAAGCAGTGGCTTCATTCAGCAGAGGTCTAATAAGAGCTGAAATGCTGTGGATAAAGAGTTAAGGAGTCACGAGGAGTGGAAGTGTGTGTGGAGGAAGTGAGAAAACATTTCGTTCCATCTGGGTTACTGGCATCTTCAGAAGTCCTGTGGTAGAACGCCTAGAAGTCAGAAAAGACCAGTGATTGCAACAGTCAGAGTGAAAAAAAAAAATGAGATAGAAGCCAGGATCATACAAATATTACAGGCCATATTAATTAAATGAAAAAGATCTGTTTTCTCTTTAATCCCAGAAGCAATGAAAAGAAATTGAAGTGTGTTTTTCTTAATAATTACAGGACATTAAATGATTTTGGAATTTTTTTCTAATTGCAAGTCCATACTTAAGTGCTCGAGATTGGATTGAAAGTGAGACATTTACAACCAGGAGAAGATAAAATAGATGAATGGGACCTTCTAAGAATCAAATCCCTATGCGCATTGAGAAACTTCTCTAACAGGGTAAAAAGGGAAGCCACAGACTGGGAAAAAGTGTTTGGTAATGACATGTCAGATAAGGGACGTATATCTAGAATTTATAAAATACTTGAGCACCACAACAAGATAAAGGTGAATAATCCAATTGAAAAATGGGCACGGGATATGAACAGACATTTCACCAAGGAAGACGTTCAGATGGCCAACAAGCACATGAAGAAATGTTCAAAATCCCTAGCTCTGAGAGAGATGCAAATCAAGACAACTATGAGATATCATCTCACCCCAGTAAGACTAGCAAAATTTAACAGAACAGCAAGCAACAAATGCTGGCGAGGTTGTGGAGAGACTAGAACCCTTATTCACTGTTGGTGGGAGTGTAAAATGGTGCAACCACTGTGGAAAGCGATGTGGCGCTTTCTCAAAAAGTTGCAAATAGAGATACCATTTGACCCAGCAATTCCACTACTGGGAATATACCCTAAAGAGACCATAAATGGCACCCAAGTAGATATATGCATACCCATGTTTATTGCGGCTTTGTTTATAATAGCAAGGAGTTGGAAACAACCCAAATGCCCATCAACAAATGAGTGGGTAGAGAAGCTGTGGTATATCCGCACAATGGAATATTATGCTGCATTGAAAAACAAGGAACTCATGCAATATTATTCAAAATGGGTGACCCTGGAGGACATTATGATGAGTGAGGGACAAATGCTATATGGTGCCACTATTGTAGAATGAGGCTGACATCGGGATGGGGGTAAGACTAAGAAAAACTGGATGAAATATGTTTATGGCATTGAAGTCTTTGGGGGAGAGAATATTTTATATTTTAGGGCATTATGTTTATCGTAAGAGTACGGAATGAGGGTTGCAGAGTGGATTATATTTGGGGATTGGGGGTTGTGTGTGGGGGATTATGTATCAATGAGGGAGTTTTTCTTTTGCGTTTGAAGGAGAGGAGCAAACGGGGGGCGGGAGAGGGGTGCAACAATGAATGAATGGAATTCCAAAATCTCTGTAGATGTTCACTGAAATGAAAAAATAAAGAAATTAAATAAAAATAAAATTAAAAAAAGAAACCATTGTCATGACCATGGTTAAAGGTGTCAGTCTTTAGGGAGGCTGGAGGATGGATTTAGAAAATAAAATCTGCAGGTCGTGTGAATAGACTTGATGGAGGATGAGGAAGATGAGGTGTCAAGGATAATGACCCCTGGCTGTAGACTGGAAGCACTCGCTAGAGCCTAAGCAGGTTTGGGTGAAGAAAATGAGTTTGCTTGTGTTGTTTCGGAGCTTGAAGTGTTTTTAAACAGCTATGTGGATCCAAAGGTCTAGAAATGCGGGTGATACGTGGAGCAGAGGCCTGGTCAGGAGATAGACATTTGTGACTCTCTGGGGGGAATTAAAAGCCATGGGTATGAAAGAACTCATCCCCATGAGTATAGTAAGAAGGAAATTTGGGGACTGAATCTGAAGGGATTCCAGGAAGAGGAGAAGGAAACAGGAAAAGAGGAAGCCGGAAAGAAGGGAGGACCAGAGGAACGAGGGAGAAGTAGGACTGTGTGACGTCCCTTACCTGAGCAGATGGCCAGGAGACTGTCTCTGATGTTACTCAAAATGAGGACTCAGAAAGAGTGGCCGTTATACATATGAGAGAGAGTTCTAGCTGTTTCAGAGATTTGGTGAGGACAAAAGGCAGAGGGGTTGAAGAATGTGTGGGAAAGTGTGAAGAAGATTATAGAGGAGAGAGTTTCAGAGTCTAGTCGGTGATTTGGGAATTGGAATAATATCTTTAGTTTTTTTAAAAAAAAAAAAAAACAAACAAAAACACCCAAAAAAAAAATCCTTTTTGCAAAGTAAGGGTGGAAGTTGGTGGAAGGGAATGAATTAATGAATTCATGTTCAAGATGGCTAAAATCCATGAGATTTGGTAACGAGAGTACTGGGATGCATTTTCAGCTTATTTTCCTCCTAATTTCCAAGAGGAAAGCATTCTGTTTATTTCTGAAATAGACCTCCGTATTGGAAATTACATTCGTAAAAACATAAGATCGTCGTTTGGCTTTGCCTGACAATTTTTGTTGTGAACCTCATGGAATCAGTGCTGTGAGATATCAGATATGCCATTTTCTTTCTGCCTAGCTTTTTTTGAATATGTACTTTTTAAAACAAACAAATAAGCAAAAACCACTTTTTCTTTCTTCCAGGCTGATGAGTCCTGAGAACACACTTTTGCAGCCCAGGGAGGAGGAAGGAGTCAAGTATGAACGCACTTTCATGGCATCAGAATTCCTGGATTGGCTGGTTCAGGAGGGCGAAGCCACCACAAGGAAGGAGGGGGAGCAGCTTTGCACCCGGCTGATGGAGCACGGCATCATACAGCATGGTGAGCGTACTGGTCTTCATTTGCTGCGGTAGCAAACATATCCCCGGTTCTTAAACTTTACCATCCGTACTTAATTTCTCATTCGTGGGTTTATAAATAAACTAGAGATGTGCCTGGGTTCCGCTTATCCTGGCTCTAAGCCGGGTGTCAAGATTTTAAGATTTTAAGTCTATCTGTAGCTTCTCATTCTGCAAGGCGAGGTTAGAAGCACAACCACTTTATGGAATATGTCACCTTCATGGATGAGATGCAGAAGGTCAAGAGGGCCAGCAGATTTTTGGGGGGCCTCAAAGGGCTGTTCTGATGTGGTGTAGGATCACAAGCTCCCACATCCAGTTAGCCATATCAAGCCATGGGTCTAGCCCAACACCATGGATTTGGGAAGTATATGGCCCCTGCTAGGTTGGTGGGGAGTAAAGAATGAAAACCTGATGCCTCTTAACACAAGATGTTGTTGTGTTATTGTTATGTGTCGTCGAGTTGCCTGCGACTCATAGAGGCCCCATGTACAACAGCCCTAAAATCTGCTCAATCCTGTGCCAATCCCACCATCTCCGACACACCTGCCTCCGTTATTACCCCAGTCACAGAATCAATCCATCTCATCAAGGGTCTTCCTCTCCTGCGCTGTCCCTCCACCATCACAAGCATGACGTCGCTCTCCAAGGACTGGTCCCTCCTTGCAACATGTCCAAAGTATGTCAGACAAAGCTTCAGAATCCTTGCCTCTAAGGAGCAGCCTGGTTTTACCCTCTCCAGGATGAACCTATTGATTGAAAACTGTGTTTGTTATTTCCTTGCTATGTAAAAAATAGTCTCAAGACATGAATGAAAGAACAATTGTCTTTTATCTCACACAGTTTCAGTGGGTCAGGAATTTAGCAGCGCCTTCACTGAGCAATCCTGGCTCACAGTCTTTCCTGAGGTTGTGCTCCTGATATTGATTGGCCAAGGCTGCCGTCATGAGTTGGGACTGAATCCATGACAACAGGTTTGGAGTTTTTGTTGTTGTTTGGCAGTCATCTGAAAGCTTGACAGGCTGGAGGCTCAGCTGCACACACGCTTGACAAGTTGGCGTCAGCTCTGATGAAGCAGCTTCCGTCCACTGCTAAGCGACAGTCTGAGAGTTCTCGTGACATGGCAGCTGTCTTCTCTCAGAATCTATGGCCCAAGAGAGTGAGATACGGAAGCCTTAATACCTTTCTTTTTCAATCTAACCTTGGACGACAGACATGGTCATGTCCTCATTATTGTATGGTTTACTAGGTGAGCCTTACTCAGTGTGGGAAGTGAGTACAGAGATTTATGAATACCAGAAGGCAGAGGTCATTGGTTCTTATAGGAGAGTGACTGTCACAAAAACATGGGCTCTGGAATCTGCACTCCATCAGTGACAACTTAAAATAATTACACCTGTTCTTCATTTACTGACTGTCTTTTTATCTGTTGTTTTATGTTTACAATATTTAAAAATCCCCTATCCACGTTGCTTAACAGTGCATATGTGGCAGTCATGCACGTGAAGGAATGCAATGGAGGCAATGCTGGCTGTGAGGCCAAGGTCCTCGTCAGCCCTGCTGGGCCCTGATTCTCGGCAGTTTGGACAATTACGTAATGCTGTAATTTGTTAGGTGGGTAAAGTTGTGCTAATCCTACTTTTTGCATATTGCTGATTTGAATTAACAGCCTTGTCATTGGAAGCTAACGATGTCAATAAGTGAGGACAGGAAATAGATGGCCCACTTGGGTCTCTGGCCTAACACAGTCGTCTTGTGAGATGCTACAGAAGCATTAGAGAATAGTAGTTGATAAATGGTACCTTTTATTTGTTTTCTTTTATATGCTGTTTCAGACACTGTTCTCATCGTTATATACATATTAAATTGACTTACTGATCTTATACATTATGAAGCACATATTCTTATTATCTCCACATACAGGTAAGGAAACTAAGACACCAGTCAGTTAAATGATTAGTTGGAGGGATTCAGGTAATAGTGCTGAAATAGTTTCTGTGATACAGGTGAAATTAGACTTCGCTGGAGTGACTGAGGTTTCACACATTGAAAAATTATCTACTCGGGTTAGAATTGCTTTTATTATTTTTGTTCTAGAGAAAGTCAGGTGATTCCAAGATCTAGAAGAAAGCCATCCTTTAGCAATCTACCAACTCATACTGTACATTCCTGGATTTCAAAGAGAAGATAGACGATGACTTGAATTACTTCTAAATGCTTCCCAAAGAGTAATTATACTCTTCTCTTAGTGTGATTTTCTGGTGCTATAAACATAGATGCCATATGTAATGGATAATTTGAAGATAATAACAAACCTTAACCACAGAAAGATATTTTCTGTAGTTCTAGGATTTGAATATATTATGTATGTATGAATGAATACTTGTATGTGTCTGAAGCAAGTTCTAATTTTCCAGGTCAGACATTAATTGCTTGATCACAGGGTTCTAATTTTGGGTGGCTCTAATCCCACCTATCTCTATTCGTTGGAACTACTGATAAATACCTTTTAGTGTCCTTTGCAAATATTTGAATGGCCTTGCTAATATTTAATCATAGGTTAAACATTAAAGAAAGTTAGACCTTATGGTTTGAGCAGTTTCTGGAGAGAAGCATTTCCCTAGATTGAAAATAGTAGGCATGAAAATCTGGCTTTCTGATGAAACTCCTACTGACTTCATTCAAGAATGGTGAAGGAAGTGTTATGATCAAGACAGAACTTGTTAGAGGAGTAATTCACTTGTGTGCATATTTATGTATGTGTATGTGCATATGTATGTGTATGTGCATATGTATGTGTATGTGTATGTGTATGTATGTGTACATTTATCCAGATGGACATCAAATATGTGCATGTTTATCTAGCTCTTTCATTCATTGGAGGAGCATTGCTGGCACGGTGGTAAGAACTCAGCTGCCACCCAAGAGGTTCACGCCCTCCAGCTACTCCTTGAGAGAAAGTCAAGGTCAATGTGCGTCTGTAAATATTTACAGCTCCAGGATCCCCATGGGCTCCAGAGACCTTGTCCTGGAGGATTGTTTGAAGCAGAATTGACTCCATGGCAATGAGTTGAGCTTTCGGTTTTCTTTTGGTTTTTATTTATTGAAGCTTATTGTGTGCCAGACATTGGGCTAAATATTTGATAGGCTTAAATATATAATGAATAAAGAACACTGAAGAAGAATCGATGCCTTTGGATTGTCCTGTTGGCAAAGAGTATTGAGTGTGTCATGGACTGCCAAGGAACAAACAAGTCTGTCTTGGAGAAAGTGCCACCAAAGTGCTCCCTAGAGGCAAGGATGGTGGAAGTTTATCTCCCTTACTTTGGGAGTATTTTCAGGACAAAACAATTCTTAGAAAAAGACATCACGCTGGGGGGAGACAGAGGAAGGTCAGCAGAAGAGAAGACGACCCTCAGTGAGATAGATTGACCTAGTCACCTGGTCATTCATGACAGAAATCATGAATGAGTACGGTGCAGCTAGGGCAAGGTTCAGGTCTGTTATTCACAGGCCCAGTCACCATGAGTACTAGTCAGTTTGGCACCATGTAACAGCGATCTTGTTGTTGTTACATGCTGGGATCTCCCAGCAGGAACCACACCAAACTCTTCCCTTTCAACAGCCAATGCAAGGACACACATGCACCCTTTATGCCCAAGGAATCACGTGAGTCTTCAGCTTCAAGCTTCTTATTGAGGGCTGGTCACATGGGCGGGCATGCTGTCAGCCAGCCAGACCAGCCAGAATATTCCAGACTTTCAAAAGGAAAGGGGGTGGTGTTCATAAACGAAACTGGACACACTGTCGAAGCAGGCGGTTATGGCTCAGTCCAGTGCGCCAGGTGGACAAAACAGCCTTATCAACTAACGTGCCATTCCAGGAGGCAGGTTCCCACGAGCAGGGTCACCTCATCAAAGCAGGCCCTTCTGTATCAGAGCTGTGGAGTGAAAGCTCTTCTGTGTAGATGCAGTGATATTTACAATGTAGCACGTGGCTATTTACAATATAGCACGTGGCCAGAGCTTTTACCACGGTGTCAGCCACTGTTGTTGTGGACCATCAAATCAGAACAGACCTCTGGCTGACCCTCCAGTGGATTTTCAGGGGTTTTAAATTGCACAGAAGATTGCCTATGGGTGACCCCAGAGGACATTATGCTGAATGAAATATCTCAGTCACAAAAGGTCAAATATGGCACAATGCCAGTGGACTGACATATAGGGGTTGGAGGGAGACTGAGAAAGATGGGGTAAATAATGTACATTGCATTGAAACAGAGAAGGGAGAGAACTGTGTAAAAGGGATATATGATTAGATATTATTATCATGACAGGAGTCCAGAACAAAGGTAGTATAGTGGAGTGGACTTGGGGGGAGGGATCGAATAACAATGAAATCATTTTTCTTTTAGTTTTCAAAAAGAAAAGCGAATTGGGAGGGAGGAGTGGGCAGGGAGAAAAGTGCAACAATGAATGAATGGAAATCCAAAGTCTCTGTAAACTTTGATTATAATAAAAATTTTTAAAGATAGCCTGTCTTTCTATCACAGAGAAGCTGGTGGATTCGAACCACGGGCCTTAGGGTTGGCGGCATGCCAGCTTTTGTCCTTCATCCAATCAGCTCTAAACAGTAGTTAAAATTAACTGAGCCCTTCTTAGCTGCCAGTCACGGTTCTCAGTGCATGTTTTCGCATCCAGTCCGCTCAGCTGACCGCTCTGCGAATCAGGTGTCTTCACGGTTCCCATCTTTGGGATGCAGTTAAGTGGTTTGCACAAGGCAGGAATGAGTTCATCCAGCAGTCTGGTTTCAGAGCGGATCCTCTTCTCCACTACAGAAGACGGGGTGCTAATTGTAAACCCCAGTAGACAAGACGCACAGTCCCCAGCTGTGCTTGCCTCAGCGCCCACAGCCTGGCAGACCCTGCAGCTTCCACACTTGTTAGCTTGATGCTGTCCCCACACTTCACTTGCCTCTGGGGGC